TATTACTGACATGAACTCCAAGTGTCCCTGCATGAATCCCAAGTATCTCTGCACAAATTCTAAGTGCCTTTACACAGATCCAAGTGCCTAAACACAAGCCCCAAGTATTTCAAGCATAAATAACAAATAATATAAACAATATCTCCAGTTGCCTCTGCACAGTTCTCACTACCTTAAGCACAGTATCATTTAATATTATTCAAACCTCTACTATCTCAAGTACAATGATATCTAATATTGTTCAAATACTCATTATCCAAGTACAGTATCAAGTAATGTTGCTTAAATCTCCACTATCTCTGCTAGGTAAAAAAATATATAAAGGGTAGCTTTTAGTCTTCTCTGCCAATTCTAAGTTCCTATACTTCAACCTAGACTCTTCTATCTTTATTCCTAACTTGTAAAATTAATATTTTTTCTCTAGACTAATTCCTACAGACAAAATTATCACTGTGTGTTTATTTAATAAAAATTAATCTATATACTGTTACTATCTCGAACCAATTGCCTGCTGCTGTGTAGCAAAGTGAACTACTACACCTTCATCCTATATATATTTGCAATAGTTAATCACAGTACTAGATGACCTTGTTACTTGGTTGTATTGTATCAAGAAGGCTACAACCCTGTAACATTTTGGTGCCTTCTGGCAGAAATATAAAAATTTATTACAGGAAAGAAACAAAAACCTCTCTTAAGGAAACTATTCTAGAAAACAATTCTCTCTCTAGGAAGAAATTTATTTTGAAAGCAGCAATTGTAAAAAAGCATTTTGGAATTTTGAAATTATTATTTTAGATATACCTCTACTAACTCAAATTGAATTAAATTATTTTGTATTTTGCATTTGTATTTTGTATTTTGGAATTGAAGAAGTTTATGCTTTTACCTTCTATCTTTGAATTTTTGATTTTTGAAATAATCTTGATTTTGATTTTTGATTTTGATTTTTGAGTTTGATTTTTGATTTTTACATTACTTACCGGCTGATAAATATATTTTGAATTGTTTAAACTTTTGATTAATTATTTGAATTCTTTATTTGCTAGCACTATTATTTTAGATTTATTCTCTCGATTTTCATTATTTTTATTTTGTTGTTTTATTACTCATTAGTACTAACCCTTCTTAAAGAAATTTATTTTATGGGAGATTTTCTCACTCAATTTTATTTAGAAACATTCGAAAACACCAACAGATTCATAGTGAAAACCCTTCTCTTGCTACAACTGTATTGCAAACCCTTGCAATTAATTTATCTTGCCCATAGTATTATTTACCTCCTACCCTTCATGGACACTTTGCTACATTTTGGACTTGGTATTCTGCAGACTACCAAGCTATTTCTTTTAGTAAAGTTACTCATTGTAACTTTTTAAGATTAGCCATTGTTGGACTCTCAGCTGCCCGAGTTGCAGCCAGAAACATTATTTTTAGTTGTTGTTACCAGAATCAGATAACTAACCCTCGAGATATTGTATGAAGTATCTTTAGAAGATATACTTCACATTATTTAGTACCAGTAGTTACTGCTGACCAAAGAACTCCATTTGATATTTTTATTGATAATCTAGTTAGAGCTCAACAACATATTGAAGCTTTACAAGCTGCTGCATTAGAATTAGCACAAGGTTCTAAGAAAGAAACTAGTGCATCTACTTCTCAACAATTACTACAAGAAACTGTTATTACTGTAGAAGAGTCTGCTACAACTTCTACTTATCCCATTACTACTGTTGTTACTCCTACTCGAACTCCAAGACCTATTGTAGACCCTAGCTCTTTTGCACTATATAGTAGAGACCAAACTCGTAAACATTATACCTATTATCAACCAAATAACCCACCAAGAATAGAAGAAGTACCTTCTCTTTTTATTCAACCAGAAGCTTCACAAGAAAGAGAAATTACCCAAGAACCCTTTTATACTTTTACTCGACCCTCATATCACTCTCAACTTTCATTCTTAACTACACCAAGACCAGTTAGTAGATTTACAAAACTTGTAACTAAAGGAATTAATCTTCTTTTACCTCACCCTAATATTGAATCAAGCCCAAAAGAAACTTCATTTACAACAACTAAAAATATTATTACAACTGAGGAAGACACCTCTTCAACTTTTAACTTACCAGAAGCAACTGATTACTCTAAAATTTTAACTACCCAACCTATTATTGAAATACCATCTAATTATCACCGACCTATTGATCTTGAAAACTTTGTTTGAGACCTAGAAACTTGTACTTAAGAGGACACAACTTTAACTACTGAAGATCTTAATTCTTTAACAAAACAAAACTATCCTGAAGAAACAGAAACTTTAGAAGACATAACTCTCACTATTGAAGACCTTAACCCATCAGTGGAACAAACTTATTTTGAAGAAGAACAACCTTTATCAGAAAAAGAACCAGAAAGCTCAAATAAAACTATTATTAATGAACTTGACTCTGAAGATGAAAGAGCTATTGACAATGCTATTGCTGCAATGAATAGACTAGTTGACACTCTTGGAACTGCAGAGAAGTTACTTTTTAAAATTGTATCATTTAAAGGTGATGAAACTGAAGACCCAGTCGATTGGATTAATGAATTTGAATGAGCTGCTGTTGCCAATGGATGGTCTGAAGCTAGAAAACTTGCAATTGCCCAAGCATATATGAAGGACAATGCAGAAGATTGACTTAAAGGACTTGGAAATGATCATTTTCAGTCATATAGTAAAGGAGATATTCCTTGATTTAAAACTAGTTTCTTGGAGCAATTCAAAACAGTTAAAAAGAAACCTATGTAGCAACAAGAGTTTTTTAACCTTAAACAAGAAACCAATACTGTCGATACATACATTGCTCAATTTAAAAAGCTTAGAAGAAAGGTAGATCCTAAGGAGGGCTTTCCAAATGACTTTATTGTTCAGCTTTTTATAAAAGGATTGCAACCAGAATATGCAATACCTGTACAAGCATCAGTTCCTAAGAACTTAGCTACTGCTATCGAAAAAGCAAAACATTGGGAACTAGGAAAAGTAATGGCTACTTCAGAAAAAGATAATGTTAATGACATTACCAAACAACTAGCCCAACTATATATCAACTCAGTCATAACCCAACCTCAACTAACACCACAAGCTTAACAAACTTCACAATCTCATACAGCCTATATTGCAGAAAGAGAAAATAACTCTAGACCTAACTTTGCACAGAACAGAGCTCTTTGCTATTATTGTAGTAATCCTGAACATTTTATGACAAACTGTAGAAAGAGACAGAATAAAAGCCAAAGAAACAGAAACTTTAGAAGAGGCAGAAACAACAATAATAATCGCAATAATAATAACAGAAGAAACTACAACAATCAAAGAAATGATTACCAAAGAAACAGAAGCAGAAGCAGATCCAGAGACAGAAACTATTCAGGAAGAAACAGATCTAAAGATAGAAGTCAAGAAAGATGGGGACCAAGATTCAATCGCTCACCTTCACCTTATTATCAAGATGTTAACGTAGCTGAAATAAAAACTACTCTAAATACTAACAACTGGAAAAGATTGTTAGACAACTATTCTATTAGAACTGCTCTTACTGCTTATATTACAGCAGAGAACCAAGAAATTACCAAATCTCATTATACTCCTACTATCACTTCTGTCAAATGTTATATTGATATTCAAGACCGAACCTATCCTGCTATTATTGATAGTGGAGCATCTGTTAGTATGATTTTCCATCAGACAGTAAAAGAATTAGGATTAAAAATAGAAGAACCATCCAAAAGCATTATTGTTGCTGCTACTGGAACTACCTTCAGACCACTAGGAATTATTAAAAACCTACCTATTAGAGTTTAAGGACGACTTATTCCTTTAGCAGTCAGACGACATGTCGTACAAAATTGATTGACTATAAATTTATACTAATTTTTTAATAATATATAAAGATCATTACATAATAAAATATTTAGCTTTACTAATAAATATATTTTTCTCTTCTAAGAAAACTTGATGTCTGTATATTTATACTACAGAAAAATAATTTATTTAACCTTTTTAATGCACTTGTTTTTTAAATAATAATGACTAAAGATCGGTAAGCATTTTTTTTCTTTCTTAAGATTATTTTCGAATATGTAAAATAAAAAAGTAAAAAGTAGTTGAGAAGGTTGAAACCTGCATGTTCTTTAAGAAAACATTTTTTTTAATAGACATTACTTTGTAGATTCGGGAGTAACTAACGTACAACGATTGTACTATATATTTGGTTCTAATCAACACACAGACAATAACTTTATAGACACCACATTTCACCAACAATTATTCACCGACAGTTTATTTCATCGAAGCTCATTACACAGACAAAATAGTTTTAGCTATTGTCATTAGGGCCAGATTAGAATTAGAGTTAAACTTAGTGCAATATATAATAAAAAACTTGTTAGTGAAATAAGCTTTGGTGAAATGAACTTGTTGGTAAATAATTGTCAGTAAAATGTGGTGTCAATGAAGTAATTGTCAACAAAATAATACAGATTCGGGAAAATGGTACTTCAGGGTTTCAATTATATTTTATGCTGGACATAATCCTTAATAAATTAGATAAATTGCGTCTGATACAAAATATAATTAAAGGTCTGAAGTTACATTTTCCCTGGCAGCATTCATATAAAAAAGGTAAAATTTCATAGAATGTTGTTTTAAAGTTAATATAAAAATTAAACTTCTATTAATATATAATTTATTCATGTAACAAAGAGTCAGATTCATTATTAAATAAAAAAATTTCAATAGTTCACTAAGCAAAATCAAGAATTTCAAGCCATTACAAAACTGTAAATTTCAAGATTTTTGAAATTGGATTAAAAAGAATGCTGTGGCTGAAATACTATTGGTAATAGTTGTTTAAACGTTTTTATAATTACGATATATCTTCTATACTCCTTTTTTTTTTATTTTGAGCAGCTTTTTTTCTCCCAATAAGATAAGATATTATATTCTTTTCTGCTCATTCTTTTGCAATATGTGTCTCCTGTTTTAAAATATCTTGTTTGACAATATTCGTAATTCTAATTACTCCTTTGTTATAACAGGTAAACATACATTCATACCTACTAGGTGTTAGTTGGTCAGAGATTTCAAACAGTGGATGCTTTTCAGACTCATCAGAGAAAATTTCTTCAGAGAGTTTATTTACTAATTTCCATAATGCTTCTTTACGGTTAACCTCTGCATATGTAGATTTGCTTATACAGGTATCAGTTACATATTTTGCATGCAATGCCATCAATCGATCTCTTTTGTTTTAAGCTGCCTTAATTACTAATTTTAAGTTTTCTGGATCAGTTGAGCATCCAGTCATATTTTGTTTAACAAATTTTACACCAAAGCACTCAAGTGCTTTATCAAATGTGAAAAAGTGTTCATCCGCAGTAAGATTTATAGACCCAACTATCTGAAGTTTTGCCTTTAGTACTGGATTTGTTTTCACTGTCATCAAGAAACATGGCACTGATTCAGCATGTCTTCTTTTTCCAGTGATGGGAAATAGTAGTGCAAAAGCTTTCAAATGTTCATGCTGAACTTCAAAATTACCCATTCGAATGCCAATTTTGTGAAGCTTGAGCCAACCTGCCTACTGATAATATAGGAGCCAAACTTTTAAAATATTGTTGCTTCCATTTTTGATATCTTTTAGTGTTATGCAATTGTCATTCATATATTTATAAATGACAATTGCTACTGTAGCCCAGATAAGTTCAAGAACACGAAATGTTGCATAATAATTGACAACATCCTGAAGTTTTTCTAGAAACTTTGTACCAAGTACAGACACTAGTCCAAATAATCTATATCCGGAAAAGGTGACAATTAAAGCACTACACATATCTTTGCTTGTATGCTACTGACCAAGGATAGGATTTAACTTTAATTAATTATTGGAATAATCTGTAATTCTGTGAAAAATGGCCTTATCACATACAATGTCTAACGAGTCACCTTGATTTAATTTCAGGTCTTCTATATATATTTCACAAGTTTTATGTACTGCAAGGTTACTGTTTGGCACTGGTTCAGCTTCTAAGATAATGACTGTTGAAAGAGAAACATTGCATCCTTTTCCCACTACTTCTTTGAGCACTGTATTTATTTTATCTATAGCAAATCCTAGTGGATATTCCGTAATTAATTGGTTAAAGATCTGAGTAAGCATTTCTGTCCACTGTTCCACAACCAGATTTTTTCCACACAAATCAATATTAGTTGTTGAAGGCGCTATGTTGAGGTCAGGCATTTCGAACTGAAAAACTATGCGCAAGGTAGCATGAGCCGTATCTCGAGTGTCATCATATAGATTACAAGCTCTAAATGTTTTTTCTTTAAAATTGATATTGTCTATTACCGCCAAGTTCCAAATATTTGAACCTGATTTTATTTTTTCTTGCACATTTGCTTCTGACATGTGTTTCTTTCGAATCTTTACCTTGTAATCTTTTGAATATGCTACCACATTTGCTGCACGAAGAATACCACGCAAGTATGATGCAAGCTTTGGCTGTTTACAAAAAGATCCAATCACTTGTGAAAGCCAAAATTTCCAACCTCTAAATGTGATTGTTAGAATTATAGAAGACAAAAATGCAGTGCTTTTTATTACTTCGCTTTTGTTAAATTCAGCTATGGCACTTTTGCGTTCTTTTTGTTTTTGTTTTACAATTTCATATTTTTTAAGCTGCAAAGTAAGAACTAATCCATCAAAAAAGCTTGTTAAACATTTTGGTATTATTTCATAGTACTGCTGTAAGGAGTCGGGATATTCTAATATTAATTTACAAGGTGCTAGGCTAGTGCGTGATCTCAAAACTTCAAGAGCAAGTAACTTTCCAAATTCTTCATATTTTTTAGGTTTTTGTATAAATTGTTGTTTGGAAAAATCAAGTCTCTTAATTTTAAAAATTGTGTTAACTACAAACAAGCTAGATAGTTGGCTAGGTGCAGAAGATGAATCCAAATCAAAATTTTCTAAGCACAGAATAAGAATTCGAAGTAAATTCTTTTTTGTTACTTCATTCTCTGAATGTGCCACCATTTCAATTAGCTTTACAAAGTGGCAGAGAGCAGTTTCAATATCATCTAAATGCATTGCAATGCATCCTGAGTCTTTCTTAGCTCCTGTACCCATGCGTATATGCAAATGTTCATCATTTTTTTCATAACACTAACAGCATATATAATGAACTCCCCACGAATTAGATGTATTTTCTGTGTATAAGCTTTGATCAATAGCTGGACAGAGAACCATTCTACGACAAGGTATTTGTAGTGTCTGATTATACACAATCCGTGTATGTTCTATACAACTTGTTCTATGACTAAAGAAAATCTTTTTTTTGTTGCAGAAAAAACAGATACAACAATGAATTTGACTTTTTTCAGTTGAGCATTGATCTTTTAAACCTTTATTATATACATTATTTTGGTCATAGTTAAAATGTCTTGAACATACTCCAAGAAATTGAAGTTCTCTGTTAACACCATTAACAGCATCTATGTTAATTTCCCAGACACCAATTAATTCTCACAACCTCTTATTACTTTCTCTATTACAGCATCGTATTTCTCCATAGTCATTATCGATTATAATGCATGGTGTAATCAATTTTGTCCTAATCGTAGAAATCTCTTCAGTGTATTCACTGCCGATTTCCTCATCACTTATTTCTTGCAATATTGGTATGTCTTCTATATTAAATTTTTTTCATAGATCATTCTCAAGTTCTGTTGAAACTAGGACATGCTTGTATAAGCTTTGCTCTAAGTTAAATATAGGATCATTGTCATAGTTTTCATCATCTATGTTCTCGACGTCTATAAAATCTTCTTGGAATTCGTTTTGCGAAGATTGTGAGAAATTGATATCCATTTTATTTAATAATAAATTAATAGTAGTTTTTTATTGTACTGTGTTTTTTGCCGATTTTGAAAATATTTAGTTAATGAAATGAAGGTGATGTGAGAGCTTTTTATAAAAAAAATTTTATTATATTGGCATTGCATCTCGAGCCAAGTCAAATTTGTACATCACAACTATTTTTATCAAGCTTTTCCAAGCTTTTCCAAGAACGAAAAAAAGTAAAGTTGTACATAAATAAATATT